TCACGCATACAATACACTGACTTTTAATTTTACACATATTTCTTTATTAGTTATTTCAGATTCTCTTTTTAATAACAAATGATATATGGTTGGCATTATAATAGATACTTTGCTCAAATCTTACCTTGGGTGAAAATATGAAGATGGTATTGCCGATTACTGTTGTAATAACATACTAAATAAGAGCAACAGTAGTATACCGCTGTTCAATAGTAATAAATCGATTGAGGGAAAACAAATTCTGGTCACAAACCATAAACAAGGGAAACACATCAACTATAACAGGAAAACAACGGAACAACAGAAACACTGAACTGCTACAAAAAAAAAAAACCAACATACATAGAAACGTTTACCGTACCCAGACATAAAAATGAAGGTGAAAAAAAGTTGGAATAAAATAGTTTCAAATAGAGATATACTAGGCTCTTTAACAAGGTAAGCATCGCATGCATGCATATCAAGGTATACCGTAAGTCTTACTTAGAATTCGAGAGCTGCGTCTAACTGTAATGCTGTTAGGTGAACGGTCGTAGACATGCTGAATTTACCCCCTGGTTAACATATATCTTGTGACTATAAATACTAAACTCTACCGATTAACTAATTCGTGATGAAAATCAAAATAATTTGTTTTTCTTAAAGTCATATGAAACGAATTTCTTGTAATTATAATGTTACGGTAGTTATTGAACCAATGTATGCATATATATACAAAACTAAGTCCTCCATCCAAGTGTTTTTACATTTTTTTATTAATCTATAACGTATTATCGACAAATAATTATTTCATTGAGTGATTGTTGATCACAAGCTAATTAACCTTCGAGTTTGTTGCCGTAGTTTATTGGATCGTGACATTGATAAACAATCAACACATGATCATGGAGCACGTGAAAAATGAGAAAATTGATAGAGCGAAGTAAATTTCTTTGCTTTAATATTTTCTATGCGTTTCGATTTGTTCTTTAAGCTTTTCCATAATAGTTGTTAAATGATTTGGTGTATTTAAAGAAAAAGAATTTTGTATACAAGAGAGTGAACGTTCACTTGTCTTATAATAAACCTTAGCCATTAAAGTGTATAAAAAATAAACAACTTTTTTTTTAATTTGAAATATCAAATGACTTAAATAAAATAGTCTTTGGGTGAAACTTTGTCAGTTAAGTTTAAGTTTAACAGTTAATTCACCATGATAAGACCATGCATGGTCTGACATACTAAGGAGTATCAAATGATAGTCATAGATTTGAGATAAATGACAGTATAAACTTGAAAAGGGAAGTTTATTAAAATGAAATCTGAAATCATCTTTATCATTGTCTCCTGTTTAATTTTGAATCAACCATGAATCAGAGTTCTTCTCAAGAGGAAAAATAAAAATTATGTCTTATTCACCTTGTGTTTTGTTTTTGCTATTTATTTACGAGCACTTCAATGTTTTCGGAAACTTTATTGTCTGCTTTTTACAATTACAAAACGCTTTCATGGAGTATTTTGTTTGATCGTGCGTGAAGATAATATTTTAAAGTCAGATGTTTGGGTATAAAGAAATTGTCGAAACGTTAAATACGATTGTCAACATGATAAATGTTTTTTTAAGAACGAATCAAACCGAAGAGTTTCAATAAGAAAAAGGGAGTCGATGCCATTGGTCTAAGTTTATTTTACTTAATTTGTAATTTGTACTTTATCGAGGTGTGTGCTATATGCGGTATGTACTCTAAACTACAAAAACTTTTTTATCGACGTTTTGTCAATTTACTTAATCAATTTCAACTACAAAAAACACTTTTGTTTGCGTTTTTGTCAAATGTACAATCAACTACAACACCTTTTTTGTTGACTTCTTTGTTAAATTTATTTGTATATTTGTTTGAATTTGTTAGTCAGTTTTGATGTATGTTTACACAATGTTGGCTTGTTAATCTCAATTATTGTCACACTTACCTTTTATGTCTGTTTGGGGTGCTAAATTGTGTTAATATAACGGAACTATAATCAACTGTCATAAAAGTAGGAGGTTCAGCTAGATATAAACAGGGTTTAACCCTTCGTTTTCTTTGGAAAATGCCTGTATCAAGTCAGGAATATTACAGATGTTTTTCACTCGTTCAGTTGATTGATAACGTTTGATTTTGTCAGTTTTTATGGACTTCCCCTTTTTGAAGTTACCTTGAAGGTATTTTTGTTATACTATTTTGAACGGAGGACACTATCTATTTCCCTTCTGTAAAAAAAACGTTACCTCTCTATCTTTGACATTGTTAGATTTCATGTAGCAAGAAGGTCACAAAGATCAAATCTTAATCTCTATTTTCGCAGTCTCAATAGCAGGGAGTGGTATTTTAAATAACAAAGACAGAAGTAGAGTTAAAAATTATAAAGCTGCTATTTAGCAATAAAAGTAACCACAAAACATCTCGAAGGCAACATATACAGTCTTCAATAGCAGACAAGTTTCCATACAATATGTCAAGCTCTAAAACGTCCCAAATCTAAAGAAGTTGTGAATAAACTTATCAGTATTTCATGGATTCTGTCATAGCTATCCAATTCTCAATATCATTAAGATAGTAAGTTAACTTCTGACGAGGTCCCTCATTTGGGACAAACACATAAAAATGCAGTGGTTGAAACTACTTTTTTACATCTTAATCCTCTCGATCAGTAGAAAAACAAGACGTACATTAAAGAACATATTATAAGATCAAGTACAGGAATAACACTTCACGCTAAAGTAACGGTATACTAGATAACAATAAAACAAAACTTACAACAAACTAAAGAATGCTCTTAGCTGCTGAAAGTCATTTCACAGTGCTTTACCTGCTTATAAGAAATAATGCTGTCCTACGTCTTACACTTTGGTTTTCTATATAGATGGAAAGTCTATAAACATAACAATTTTTAAATATACTCGTTAAATAGATAAAATTTGATATTTTCAAATTTAATAAAAAATACTTTTGTGAACTTATAGATATGATAACTAATAACATGAGCGAATTCAATATGTATATGTCAAGCATCGTGGTGATATACTTTTGATTAATATTATCTAATGTATGTCTTTTACAGCAAGGTTACACGATGCCGCGCCTGTTGTTATTGTTGGTGACATTTTGTTTATCGTGTGGTATAATAACAGCACAAAATGGTGAGATTATTAATCCAACAGTTAACCACACGTCTCTTCATATTGATTTTAAACTTAATTAGAGAAAACAATATGTAAAAAAAAGACAAACAAAACCATAGGTAAAAAGACGAAAAAACAAACCATGAATAACAGACGTATAAAACCAAAATTATACAAAAAAGAAATACCTATAAAAACGTACAAAAAAAACCTGTAAAAATGAGGAAAGAAAAATCCATGTAAAGAAGGCAAAAAAAACCACTCCAGTTAAAAAGACGATCAAAAACCTTTCCTTTCGCAAATTTCTATTATACTCCTCTACCATAAAAAAAAGACAACATATTTCTACAAAATAATGGAAAAATGTTTTGAATGCTTTATATCAAAAAAACATACAGGATGTTTCACAATCATCTTCGTTCAACGAAGTTTTTATTAAACTTTCTAAGGAGCTGTCCAATTGTTTATTAGACAATTTCGACAATTCTGTTCTAAACTCAAGTTCAAAGAATACCTGTGATCAAAATATAAGTTATTATAAATAAATATCGGAAGTATAAATAAACAATATAGATATCAATACACGAGAGACACAAATAAAATTAACTTCAAAATAAAAGCGCCTTAATTGCTGTTCTTCAGCTAGAATCCTAATGTTTTGTTATTTGTGTTGTTTGGTTCTTGTTTCAATTACTTACACCCTATTACTCAATTTATTCATAAAAAATACTTATCAAAGATACCAGTCTTACAATTTTGTACGCAAGACGCGCGTTTTGTCTACATAAGACTCATCAGTGACGCTCGAATCAAAAAAGCTAAAAGCCAAATCAAGTACGAAGTTGAAGAGCATTGAGGACCCAAGATTCTGAAAGGTTTGGCCAAATACAGCTTTCCATTGTATCCTGCAACCGACTATTTTACTATACAATACAAACAGGTGTATGGATAACACGAAGCGATATACTTATAGTATACGTATATAGTCTCCTGGTATCCTGCTTCTACTGCGATTCAAGTTCAACGGTTACATTAACATTACTATTAATGTCATAGTTTATGCTAGTGTCCTCTTCCCAGTCCGCTCATCCAGTTTCCTAAACTGGTACAAATATTTTTTTTTTATTTTCCGACAATAAAATTGAGAATGGAAATGGGGAATGTGTCAAAGAGACAACAACCCGACCACAGAACAGACAACAGCAGAAGGCCACCAACAGGTCTTCAATGCAGCGAGAAATTCCCGCACCCGGAGGCGTCCTTCAGCTGGCCCCTAAACAAATATATATACTAGTTCAGTGATAATGAACGCCATACTAAACTCCAAATTGTACACAAGAAACTAAAATTAAAAATAATACAAGACTAACAAAGGCTAGAGGCTCCTGACTTGGGACATATATTGTATATAATGTTCTTTATCACCCATCGAACATATATAGGTCTTTGGTCGATCATCTTTAAGTATCTATTTAAATAGTATTATAATTGTATCAAGTACGCAAAACACATTTCACCAGATATTGTAAATGCTTTTTTTATACTGCTGTGTTTTGTATCTGTTGACAATTTTATTCTTTTTTACTCCCTGAGAAATCAATATTTAAATGTATGACTGTTTTTTTTTTCAGACGCAGTATGTGTCTCTGGTGAACTGGATCTTGTGTTTATCATCGATGCTTCTAATAGCATAGGTTGGGGCAATTTCTTGAAACTGAAGAATTTTTTGAGAGGGTTTCTCACTCACTTGTCTATAGATAATGGTGCGGTCAGAGTCGGGACTGTGGTATTTTCAACGGCGGTAGAAACAGAATTTTATCTAGACTCGTACACCACGTCAGCTGAGATTGATAAACACATGTCAAAAATAAAGTACACAGACGGTGTAACTTACACTGCAGGTGCTTTGAACGTAACCAAAAACGTCTTATTCACCGCAGCAAAAGGGGACCGAGATGCAGTCCCTAATTTCGTGATACTTGTAACAGATGGAAATTCAAATTATCGAAAAGATCTCACTATCGAATATGCTGACAATCTTAAAAGCGTTGCGGTTATTTACGCTTTAGGTATTGGCAGAGAACTTGAGGAATTCCCAGAAGAACTACTGGCGATTGTCCGACAACCGGAAATTGGGAATCCTGAGGATATGGTCCAAATGTTGAAAGATTACAATGCCCTCGAAGAGTTGAAACTTGCCATCTTTGACAATATGTGTCCAAGTAGGTCAAATAATTTTATACTAGATAGTTATTTGATATAAAGTGAAACAACAAATCAAGAAGAAATTATTTCGTAAATCATTTTTTAACATATGTGTAATAAAGCTTTCGTGTAAGTTTTAAATCTTCCTTATGAGTACTTTTTTACTGCACTTTTACAAGTCATAATAAAGAGCTTTTTCTGTTCTATTTTTACGGCGCATGCCTTTTATTCCAGAATTGAATACTTCTTTTTGTAATTTTATTTGAGGGTAACATTCCGCGCTTCATACTATAAATGTGCACACGTTCAACGGTTTTACAACGGACTATAAGATATAACAACAACGAAAAAACATTCAACTTTCACTATACATTTTTATGCTGCAACGATAAAATAACGAGTTAAATCAAGACTCCTGTGTATTTTTGTATGTATGGTTTTAACGTTATCACGGAGAGCACACGCAGTCACAGATGTTGCATTTTCATACGGAAATTAAATATAACTTTGGCCAATCAAAATAACGGAATTGTTTGAAACTTCTATGAATATGAATATCCTTAAATAATATGTGTAAATGTACAGTTAGGCATTAACTATTCGTTCTTCGCTTTGAAACAAGTGACAAGATCTCTGTTTTAATTTTATTTCAATGATCGAAGGTCGTGTTATTTTGTGCAACTAACGATGCTACTAATTACCTGTTTTGTTGTTTTCCATAGTTATACAACAGAATACAGTTATACAGAATGGTAAGTACTTAATTTATCTAAAAATGAAAAAAAAAGAATTCCGATAAAAAATCAGTGTTTTTTACTATGAGTTTTCCATACTTTACAAGAAATTAACCTTAGGTCAGAAACAAATGGAACAATATGAAAGGTTCTCAAGGTATTTGGGGCCATGTGGGTCCAAGCGCCATCGGTGTGCTGACACCTGTGTAATCAAGGTATATATGTACAAACAACATCATATACAGTCGAACCTCGTTATGTCGAAGTCGAATGGACCGGACAAAAGTATTCGACTTATCCAAGGTTCGACTCATCCGAGGTTGAGTGTGTCGTCATAAATTTTGAATACACGAAATACGTTATGAGATTTATGTCAACTAGATATTTTGAACAGGTGCCTTTTTTTTAGATATGACTTTTTAAGATTGTGTATTCAATCTCCGTTTTTTGGTGGTCCTTCATCATAATTAAACAAAGTTTGCGGCAAAACTTAATTTATGAGCTAATTTAAAAAAAATTCAACATAGTATTTTTTGCTTTTCTGATTTTGATTTAACTTGAACTTATTAACCATTAAAAAAGAATGTTGTTTATTTTGTTTTATTTAAGGTTCTCCTTGCTACGAGGAAGGAAAAGTGTTTGAAAAAAGATGCCGTACATTTAAATGCATCAATTCAAAATGGAAAAAGATGGGTTTCACTGGTAAGTTATCTTATAGAACAAACTAAATATACATCCACTTCATTTGAACTTTGGTGGTTGGCAATCATACTGCATCTTCTTATATTTATATAAAAATAGCTTATACATTTGCATCGGGTAATGTACATATAGTTAATACAGTTTGAAGGTATATACAATACAAAGAGGACCCAATACCGAGTGTGGATTTACACAACACAATTGTCTTTTCAGAAACAGATAAGTACAAAATTAAGGCTTTCCGAAACAGATTGTATCATAACAAACAGCTGATACCACAGTAAAAGTATACATGATAATGAAGTGACAACATCATATTATGTGCATATCTACACATCGCTTACCAATCAAAACAAATTTAACTGATGTGAAAAAAGAAACCGAAAATCCATGATGATAGTTCCTATAAAAATAAACCCATTAACATTTTGTTACATCGGAATAATTTCAGAAAAGAAAATCTTCACCACTATAGATATCTGATTAAAACACCAATTTTAACATTCTGGCAATTTTTTCCATTTTACTTAGTTTTTAATTTATTGTTCCATGGATCGATTTATTTGTTAAATTGCTTATTCTCTTTTTATTCATTCAGTCTGAATTCACATTCATTGTGTCGAAGTTGTATATACCTTTTCTTGAACGTATGGTAGTTGTATTTTCGATTTATTGTTTGCAAATGTCACATTTTTAAAGTCGCATTAGTGAAATAAATCCCTTTTATCGCTATTTTACGAAATTTTCGTTTGATCTTGCTCACTGGTAATTTCCTTTCTCAGCGGAGTCGAGTGATATGAAGAATTATCGCTAGAAACTAAGGGGACACTTGGCGTTGTCAATGAAATTGACATGAAATTGACAACGTCGTCATAGGTAAAATAGCGATAAACCGATGATCATGTGTCATCTCAACTCGATTGCTTTTCTTACTTTCGCCGTACCGGCTTAAGCGAGAAAATCAATCTCGTTGAGATGATCAACGATAATCTATAAATATTGCATCTCTTTACTTTAAAAATATTTTTTTTCTAGTTTAATCGATACGTGTTTCCTAAAATTGCAAATTAACATTAAATTTGTTTGATTTATTCCTGGCGAATGTGCACGATTTAGATAGTACATATATATTGTTTTATTCAGGTTGCATCAGTAATGGACGATGCTACGAATGGGGAGAAGAAAGAAGTGATGCATGCTACCAATATAAATGTTTCAAACCTGCCAATTGTAAAAGTAATCTGTGTCCTAGCTACGACTACAGACTCTTTAACGCAGGTATGTCAACAGGCTAATCAAAAAAGAACGTCAGCAGGTTTATCAACGATGGTAAATCCTTCGGATTTTTAATGATGGTATATCATTGTTGGTACGTCGTCAGGGTTTTCAATGCTGGAACGTCAGCAGGTTTATCAATTATGATACGTCATCAGGCTTATCAATACATGTACGGCAGTAGGTTTACCAATACTGCTACAGCAGCAGGTTTATCAATGCTGGTACGTCAATAGGTTTATCATAGCAGGTATGTCAGCAGGTTAATCAATGCGGGTGTGTATCAGGTTTGGTAATGCAGTTTTTTAATTAGGTTTGTTAATACGAGTATGTCATTAGGTTTATCAATGCTGGTACGTCAGCAGATTTATCAATTAGTGTACGTCATGAGGTTTATCAATGCTGGTATGTCATGAGGTTTATAAATGCTGGTATGTCTTTAGGTTTATCAATGCTGGTACGTGATTATGTTTAGCGATGCTGGTACGTCATCAGGTTTATCTATGCGGGTACTTCAGCAGATTTATCAACTAGTATACGTCATCAGGCTTATCAATGCTGGTATGTCATCAGGTTAATCAATGCTCGTACGTCATCTGGTTTATCCAGGCTGGTACGTCATCAGGTTTATAAATGCTGGTATGTCATCTGGTTTATCAATGCTGGTACGTCATCAGGTTTATAAATGCTGTTACCTTATCAGGTTTATCCATGATGGTACCTCAGGAGGTTTATCAATGCTGGTAACTCCTCAGTTTTATCGATGCTGGTACGTCATCAGGTTTGTCAATACCGGTATGTCATTAGGTTTAGCTATGCTGGTACGTCATCAGGTTTATCTTTGCGGATACGTCAGCAGATTTATAACTAGTGTACATCATCAGGTTTATCAATGCTGGTATGTCATCAGATTTATCGATGCTGGTACCTCATCAGTTTTTTCAATGCTGGTACCTCATCTGGTTTTTCAATGTTGGTACGTCAGCAGGTTTATCAATAATGGTACGTCAGGAGGTTAAACAATGTTGGTACCTCATCAGTTTTATCAATTCTGGTACGCCAGTAGGTTAATCAGTTCTGGTACGCCAGTAGGTTAATCAATTCTGGTACGCCAGTAGGTTAATCAATTCTGGTACGCCAGTAGGTTAATCAATGATTGTACGCCAGTAGGTTAATCAATGATTGTACGTTAGAAGGTTTGTCAATGATGGTACGTCAGCAGGTTTATTAATGGTGGTATTTCAGCAGGTTTATCAAAGCTGGTACATCATCAGATGTATCAATGATGGTACACCAACAGGTTTATCAGTACTGGCACGCCAGTAGGGTTATCGATGATGGTACACCAACAGGTTTATCAATTCAAAACAAAATAGTATATAGTGAATATTAACACACAAAATAAAAGTTTAGAAAATCAAAGCAATCCAAGTAGTAATTAAGAGGGACATAAATACAAAAAAAAAGTATGACACTTAACGCAAAATGATATAATTGTTTTGGGGGAGGGGAGGGGGAGATGGACAACTCAACACATAATAATGATCTAAAGGAACAGTATAGAAGAAAATGAAAAAGAGTAAGGCTATACAGCCAAGAATATATGCTCCCGAGATTTACAACGCAAATTAAAATATAATTACCTTAGAACTATTGAACAAAGAACAAGAAAATGAAACAGAAACAATTGTGTGTGCATGATTTATCTTTAACAATTATTATTTGTTCTTGCAGGATGTCTTGTCGATGGACAATGTGTTGATGAAAATAAAGTTGTTGAAGACAAGAGTGTATGCGCCAACTTTCAATGTATCAGACGAACGTTTGATAATAATGAAGTTTACAGTGAATATCTTATGGTCGGAAAAGGTTTGTGTCACTGTTTTTTTTCTATTTATATCTTCTTTTTATGGGGGATGGGGGTTGGGGTTGGTGGTGTTTCAATAAATTTCAAAAAATCAACGTAAAGCCGTAACAATAAGAAAACATCATACCTGCTACATATCTTGATATTGTATTATAACGACATTATACGAATGCATAATGTTCATATCAAAAAGACTATTGTTTGGTTTTAATGTTAGAATTACTCTAAACGATGTACTGTTAGTGTAGCAACATATTATGCATCGGAAACTATAGACATTGTATGTTTTGCTCTGCTTAAACGATATGAGTGACATCGCTCAGAACATAAACAAAAGATTTGAGAAAATAACAAAAGAAAAAACATTTTTCCGAAAATGTAGACAAACACTACATTTTCAATTACTAATTTCCTATTAGAAATGGCATTAAATGTATTTACATATTTTACATTAAATGTATTTTCATATTTTACATTAAATGTATTTTCATATTTTACAGTAAATGTATTTTCATATTTTACATTAAATGTATTAAAATTATATAATCGGGTCCTATGAATTCTCATTTCAGAATGTGTGCGATCTGACGGGACATGTAGTGAAGTTGGTTACACTTACGAGGAACACTGCATCAAATATGAATGTCAAGCCTCAACTTTTAATGGCATTCTAACTGCTGAATTTATGCCAATAAATACCGGTAAGTAGATTTCTTCCCTTCTTCATCATTTATTATGGAATAACATGTTCTTATTTTTTATAAATAGATTAACGTTAAGTAATTCAGAAAAGTAATCCAAAATTGTCAGATGAACCTTGGTAGCATGATTTAATCATATGGATGTAACTGTGTTAGTAAAATATTATTTTTCCGTTATCAGACATACATGTATTGAATTAATTATGATTAATATTTATATCCCCGCTCTTAACGGATGATATATACTGGTCTACGTCTGTCCGTCCGTTAAAAAAAGACAATGGTCACTTTTTCTCATTAACTAAAAATCAGAGCATTATTCATAAATTTGATAGAAAGCTTCATGTGAGCATGCTTTACTTTGTGGTGCATTTTAAACTTCGTCTCTCATCCACTTCTTGTTTACTGAATACTGCTTATATATTCTTATACACAATGACATGTGTGAAATTTTCGTCACATTTTTCTTTGGAACTTTAAAATGAATCAAGACTTTCAGAAATTATTATCAAATTTCATGTGAGCATGCTATACCGTGTAAAGTATTTCCATATTATGCCTTGCTCATCAACATCATGTGTACCGTATATTTAAAGCGAGGGTATCATTTGTGAGTAATGGTTACTGAGCCACTTGTGTATTCTCATAATGGGTACATAAGTGTTAGACTAGGCAGTTTCTTCACATATCAATATTGTCCCCTTATTTTCAGCATGTAAATATGGGAATAAATGTGTTCAGCTTGGAGAAAGAATTACAGAAGTTTGTGACGTATTAGTATGCAACTATGACGACAAAGCCATGGGTTATGAACTTATGTTGGAGTCGCAAGGTATTTTATTTTGTAAATAGTGCATGATATACATGATATAAAGACAATTTTCCAAATATTAAAAGGAAGTCGTTATACGTGCAGCTTCCTATATGCATATGCCAATATCGACCAGAACATCATACAGAAAAAACTAGGCATTGAGCAACAATTTCTCCACCTTAAACCGGAAAGGACGATATTGTTGGAGGAGTATGCAGTGTAAGTCCCACGGGTTTTTCTCAATTATATTCTCAATCACATAAACCGAATCTCATTCGGTGACAAGAAGAAGAAAATCACTGATTGGCGATTTGAAAACTATTGATGCAGTAACGTTCGAAGTATTTCAAATAATTGTGTAATGTAACAAAACTGATATTTATTATATCTCAGACGATCATATCTGTGCATCTAAACCCTTGTAACTAATCTTTCAATGTAAACGTGGGACTATTATATTAATATAAGATGTATACATATAACCGATTATTTTTTATTCAGGCTGTGAACATAATGGAAAATGTCTGATGAAAAACGAAAAAGTTTTTGAGGAAAGCACATGCACAAATTTTGTTTGTACATACTCTAGGAAGCAAAATAGGCTAGTGATGAAAGAAAGAGTTGCAGGTATTTAAAAATTATTTTCAAGTTAATCATTAGCATGTCTCAAACAATATCAAATAATATCTTAAAATCAAAAACACATATTTAAGAAATATCGTTCTTTTTATAATAATGCAATGAAACCACGAGGCAGAAGGGCCTTTTTTAAAAAAATATCCGGAAGGGGGGATGTTGTTTAAATGCAAACATGCATTATTTGATCGTAACTTCTACAGAATATCAGGAATTATTGCATAATTTTCATTTTAAATATGAATCGAATAATGGTTTCTTAAGTAGTATAGCATCATAATATACAAGGGACAAACAAAACCAATAGAAAAACGACGAAAAACAAACAACAGTTCACAAAACACAAGATCAATACGAATCTCGCCATAGACCAGGGTGATAAACTCGAATACTCCAGAAGGTCAGCAGTTTTTCTCCATTTGCGGCATCGATTACATTTACCAAGCATTATCCCGCCAATAACACATAACCTGTAATGAGATTTCACATTAATATTCCTTCTTTACAATAACCCAAATAGTAGACAAGGCCGTTCTCTAGAATAACATTACATAATAACTTCGAATAAATATACAGCATACAAACATAATGCTTAAAAGCAACAATAAAATCGAGGAAGGGCAAGCAGTTGATATAAAATAAATAGATGTGATATGATTGCCAAATGCGACAGATATCCAAAAGAGTCTAAATGACGATGATTGAATTAAGAATGTCTGTTAAATTGAACAATACTTGGTGTTTCTATATATCACAAATAATATTTTACTGCCACATGTGCTAGTTGATATTGCGGTACATGTAAACTTATTACATTTAAGTTCAACAAACAATTGAAAGCTTAAAGTGGTTTACTCTGTTTTTATGTTCCTCTCTAGGTTGCAAAGGGACAGATGGCAGTTGCGCTGCCAAAGGAGAGGTGGTAACACAAAGGGGTTGTATCAAGTACCAGTGCGACAAAAAAGGCAATTTAGAACTGATTGAAGCAGGTTAGATGGTTTTAAAGTAAAAAGACTGTAATTTCTATTCTAAAGTAGTGCTATAATTTTCCTTATAGGTCTTTTTACTGTTATCAAGTATTGAAGAAAAAAAAAACTTAATCAATCAGCAAACACATTTTTTATCAAATTACTTTTGAACATGAAAACTTCAACTAAACACTTTTTTCAAGCATATCTTATCATATAATGTAGAAATTTCTAATTTAAAGGGTTTCAAAATAACAAAAATCATACCGACTATGATAGGACAAAAATAGAAATGGGAAAGAGTTTTTAGTCGGGTTTTTAACCTTAAATTATGTCAATAAATTTAGGATGTGATGTTGATGGAGAGTGTAAACCAGTTGGATCAAAATGGAGACAACCTGGGGAGTGTGCAGTGTTTAGATGTGTATTGGTAGACACAGTGGACGATTCGGTAGAAACTGACATCGAACAAGATCTGGGTATATATATATTCATTTAATACTTAGTAATAAATTCTTGTAAAAGAGGGACGAAAGATACCAGAGGGACAGTCAAACTCATAGATCGAAAACAAACTGACAACGCCATGGCCAAAAATAAAAAGACAAACAGACAAATAATAGTACAGATGACACAACATAGAAAACTAAAGACTAAGCAACACGAACCCCACCAAAAACTGGGGGTGATCTCAGGTGCTCCGGAAGGGTAAGCAGATCCTGCTCCACATGTGGCACCCGTCGTGTTGCTTATGTTATTACAAATCCGGTAAATAGTCTAATTCGGTAAGTCACATTCGTGAAAAGGGAAGGATATTGTAGTTACGACATAAGGAACATATCCGATATCATCTGTGAAACGGTTATTCCATAACGGTCAACCAACTCGTGATGGCGTCCGTAAAATTTACGAAGGGATGATTTCAACTTCACTATTTGGAACTCTTGGCTTAATAGCTTCCTTGTGAGCAGCAATCCTCTATCAAGGAAATCATGATAGGAAACACAAGCCCGGGAATATCGTATCAATTGGGAGATATATACTCCGTAAGCAGGCGCTGCTGGAATGTTGCTACATAGAAATGGAAATTGTATGTGCAATACAATCAATGGCAATCATACAGTATCAACCATCCGTGATGATATCGATGTCAATCACGATTTTAATGGCTTTCTTAAACCCCTAATCAGTATGACGACACTTTCAAAATAGTACGTATATAGGAAACACCTTTTGTGTTTTTTTATTCATTTCCCTGAACTCATTAGTAACATTTCAATTCTGCCATATATATCAAAATCTCTATTTGTGTCAAACACATTATATAAACGGTTTTGTCGTGCTCGTGACTGACACTAATCACTGGATTAGACATGTTATTTGTTGGCCAGTTGGTGCATGTATATAATGTAGCAAGAGGTGCCGACCCTGTTGACGCACTTGGTTTCTTTTCGTTTTCATACGTATTTTTGCACCTTTTTTGTGTCTTTTATACCTAGGTTTATGAACTGTAACTGAACACACAGTTGCAGCTTTATCGCTTTAACACCTTTAATGGTATGATTGATCAATATTATGTCCTAGAATACATTTGTTTTATTTTCACAAAATGATTTGTTAATAGAAACATTCGAGACGAGAAGAGTGCTTACGACACGTGGTTCTTGACAATATGTATGTAGTTCCAATGAGACAACTCTCCATCCAAGTCACAATTTGTAAAAGTAAACCAGTATAAGTCAAAGTACGGCCTTCACACGGAGCCTTGGCTCACACCGAACAGCAAGCTATAAAGGGCCCCAAAAATGATGTGTAAAACCATTCAAACAGGAAAACCAACGGTCTAATATATATAAAAAAAGAGAAACACTTATGAACAACATCAACAAACGACAACCACTGAACATCAGACTCCTCACTTGGGACAGGTGCAAACAAATGCAGCGGGTGTAAACGTTTTGATAGGCGCCAACCTTTACCCTACCTGAAACAAAAGTGTAACATCCCAACATAGAAAGACACACTATAAAATATCAATTGAAATGGGGTACTCAATCAAAAGACATATTAACAAAAACCAATGAACATACACTTAACGAATAAATTTGATCTATGACACAATGTAAATACAAAATTAAATAAAAAAAAAAAATGCTCTAGATATGAAATTTAAGTAGGGAAGTCAAATTGCATATTGATTTTGTCAATATATTACAGTGTAGATGTTTTTTTTATTTTGTCATTTGGGTAATTTGCGTTCAAGAATATCCCGCATCTCCCATTTAGAAATGGCGGGGACAAATGTTTAAAACCGAAAATTTAATCTCAAAATAGGTGCAATCAAATTGGCATACTATTTTCAATTTTGTAGAATGTCACAATTTTGATGGAGAATGTGTGAAACCTGGTGAGAAATTTGACGATCATTGTATAACCTACAGATGTAAAAACAACGGCAAATTAGATAGAGTTACTGCAAGTAAGAATGCATATTAAAAGGGTTGCTTCATTTGTGTTATAATCTGATGAAACATGTCTATGTAAGATTCATAAATATTTGTAGAGATAAAGAAAAAAAAATAAGTACTAGTACTCTTTTTTTTTTTGTGTTTGACGATTGAAATAAGATTAGAGAGGTCAAAATTATAAGACTTTATATTCCATAACTTATAGTATGTAAAACTATAAAAAAATAATGGCTTATTTCCATATTGGTATTCCAATACCTCGTTAATGAAATGTCTTTTATCGGCCAGGAATAATATGTTAAATATGCTCATTCTTTTTATATGGAATGACTTTGTCTTATGTTAATTTTTGAACATAAACAGAATCGTTGATTTTCTGTTCCAAACAGGATGTGAATATGATGGTAAATGTTATGATATCGGTGATGACTGGGTGGACAGAAAGAGATGTAAACACGTGGTTTGTAGGGCTGACCGAAAGTTAGGTGCCGTCTTCTTTAGGAGGAAATATGGTAATAAAATAATAACATTGCCACTTTTTCAATAATTCCAGTTATCTATCGAAAGCCCCCAAAAAATCAGAGAGTTCAAATCATAAAATTTATTAACATTGGAAAGAGCTTTTGTGTAGAAACGAAAAAAAAAATTATTTGGCAACTTTTCTGACTACTATTCTATTGGTTTAAACAATGTATACGCACATACCAGATACTACATCTTGACCTGTCGATTATTTTGTAGATTCTCTATGCGTTTAGTTGCTGTCTAATGACGTATACCTCATTATATCCATTCACTCAATTTTTTAAATATAATTTATGAATTTAGATTAGTCGCAAACGACTGCAGTTTTTTTTAGTAGATTTGTCTTAAGATAACCGATCATTTATTAATGTAAGTCTTTACAGATTGAAATGGTCGTTTCAGTTCAAATTCTATTTGTAAGTGTCAGTTCATATTTAGTGTAGGCAATATTACGATCGATTTTTTGTATAATTACACAATGCTTATGATGAACTGTCAAGGTATTTTGTATTTCATGACAACAAACAATTGCATGGCCAGAGATGGATGATTTGATTTTGTTTAAATTTTAGTATCAAAATGTCACATATTATGAACATGTTTTAAAACATTATAGGTTGTAAAGATGACAAAGGAAACTGCTTTGCACCAGGAGAATTTGCAGTGAAGGACGGAAGTTGTGTAAAATATAAATGTTATTCCGATCATGTATTGAGACGAGAAGGTTAGATTCCATAAAATGAACAAATATGATTTATTAACATTTTAATAATGAAATCAGAATACTACGACAGAAAAAGATGGTGTATTGAGTATTTATTTTATATTTCTATTAAATAGGAAACAAGTAAATACATGGCAATCAGATTATGGCTTGTTTTAATGTTGTAAATATTTGTATTGGAACCAATTTCAAGAAAATATGTTACCTTTACGGTTAACAGTAGATAATAACGGTTTTGAGAGGTATTCGTTTATTTCTTTTCAAATTTCTGTAATGTTTAGGGGACCACCGGTTGTCTTTTTTTTTCATTTTCTTGCTTTTTAAAGAAGTTGCATCTTTTTACGTTATTGACACTTTTTAACTCCCTTGTTAGCGTTATACTACTTATCGCTTACTAAGTACGTTTACAAAGTTCACATAATTTTTACAACCTACAAGATATCTTAATAAACAAATCCTGCACTTTGTCAATGAATGCTGAATACATGTATAAAGTTAGTGTACCTATGTTATGTGACAAAACAGTCTTCTTTTAATATATTGAAATGACATTGAAATCAAAACAAGAATTAATCTTAATGCATATAAACTGGTGAAATAATTCTTGGCCGTTATTTTGCAAGAAGTTTGGGAAGGACATTGCCGTTAACTATATAATAGGGAATCTTTAAATGTGGTATTAATTCTTCCAAGACTCGTATATTTCACTACTTTGGCAATCCATCTTTTTCGTTACTGATTACATATTCATAATTATTATGTCTTTGACAATCCATCTTTATTATTCTGTACATCAAAACTATTTCAGCGGCCATGTTCTTTAATGATCAATTCTGTTAAAAAATAAGTATTATTAAAATAGTTTGCATATTGTAAGTTTACTGTTAGTGTAATTATCTGATATTTTTTTTTCATTTTTGGTTTTACTTTCTATTGACGGTTTTGCAACTTCATCTTGTGTAAATTCTTGATTCAATAAGTATAATAGGAATACCTTTACAGATTGTGAGTTCAAAGGAAAATGTTATGACTCTGGTGAAACGTGGGTTGAAATGTCTGAATGCCTGACTTTATCCTGTTATAAAGATGACTATACTGGTGAATCGGAACTGTCTTCGTCTCCATACGGTAAATACAGTTATCAATGTTGTGATTTAATACAAAAAAAAAATAATAATCAATTTTTGAATGTAAATCATAAATAATTCAGAATTATTTTATGTATCATTCATCCACTTGTGAATATAAAAATGTTAAAAAAAAAAAAAAGCGTTTCATCAGCCAATAATATAATCATTCAAAATGATCATTTTATATATACTATTCAAGATAATACATCGTTTTTAGAACAATTAATATCACAAAGCTATACATAATTTTTTAAAGTATTAACCATACATATGCTGATAATGTTGAATGAGGAGGTGAATGTAGATTAATTAGTTTGTACAAATGTCAAAATGAATACAAATGTTAGTCATTAGCTATTCATATGGAATTGTAAACAAATGCATGACATTGGCTCCTTATGGATAAAATAGTACCATAGTGCAAATGTAATAAAGAAAATGACATACTCTATATCAACCGCCACAGCAAGCTCTAAAGAGGCTGTCTGACGTCGGAGACTACATCATGGTAAAAGCAGAAAACATTTACTCTAATTGTTTTACACTAGCTGACATATTATATGTTCATTCGTAAGGTGTCTATATGGTATTTATGACTTTTTAGGTTGCTTGGAAGAGGGAATCTGTAAAAATCCTGGTGATAAATACGAAAAGGATTGTCAAACATATGAATGCCAGCCAAATGGACAAGGATTCCAGATAGTTGATTCTAGTAAGTTTTCACATAGAAGGTAAACATAGCTTAGTCATTAAATGGCTTCAAGAACAACAGTGAATTGTAATTAGACAAAAGCTATTATCGAAACTAACCTAGGTAGTTGGATTAAACAAATAAAAAGTTGTTTACAACTGATTCTCATGCCGTAATTGTTTATAACGAAACAATCGAACAGATTAATTGTTGTCAATAACTGATTTTTATACTTTTTTAAAATTGTTTAAACAGTACAGGATAGACGCCTTTACCCAACAAATCCAAGGAGCAAATTGACACTTAGCAATTTGAAATAAGCGTTTAAAAAAGTGGAATAATATTTATTAACTTTCAAATTAACATATTAAGATAAACAAAGGTTATTGACGTATGTCCAAATTTACGTATTCACGTTGAGAAGCAAACAATGGCTCTTCATACAAAAGGAGGACTTTGACGCAGTACAAAGTTATCAACGGCATTAGGATTTTGATAGATGTTATATATCACATATTTAGATCTTAAATACAAATTGCTACTGTGTTAACATGTATACATTTCAAATTCTTTTCCCAGAATGTCCATGGAAAAACGGCTGCAAGAATTTGAATCAGACTTGGTTTGACAAGAAGACATGTAGACGATACGGTTGTTTTGAAGACGAGGATGGGTTAGACATAGAAGAAATTACCTATGGTAAGAAACGTTTATAAATGTAAATAAAAATATAATAAAATCACAAAGTATGGGAATACCATTGTTTTCTTAACATACAAAGAAAATATTTTTAGAATAGTATAAAACTACGACAATGAGTCCAAAGTTGTTAAATCGATGTATTTAAACGAAAAATGTAGTGTTGTCAAATCTAAAACTAATAAGAAATATACTATTTTATATTGCAGGATGTCGTGGTATGAATGACGAATGTATTAATGACAGGAAAGATTTAGATCAGGACAAATGCATCAGTTATGATTGTAACAATGGACAACTTGTGCCACAGAAAATTGGTAAATATATAAAGATTAAAGAAGATATTGGTTATACACCAATGAGACAGCAACACAAAATGAAAGAACACAAACTCAATTACCGACATAGCTTTCAATTTAAAACATTTTTTGCTAGGAAAATAAAACTTGGAAAGAACAAAGTGTATCACGGCTTAAACAAGGCAAGTGAAACGAGCATGTAGTATTGTGCGGGAACTAACACTAATTTTTAATTTTAATTTTAAAGTGCGTTACACATATAAATGGTAAAAATACGAGACTGCAAGATAAGTAAATATGCAAGGAACATTCACACAAGCTAACACACATCAAAACCGTCTAAACATTTTCTTTCCATAAGAATTATATATGGCAATATTCAATATCTATGTAGCTGGTTATTTCTAACACGCCAGAATTACTATTATAACGGCCAAACGAAGAATACAAGAGGTAGATGTCAAGTCCTATTTTACTGATCATGTTCTTATTATCCTTCTGTGGAGTTGTTCATTTGCTATTAAACACATTTAAATGGTAAAAATATGAGATTGCAAGATAAGTTAATATGCAAGGAACATTCACACAAGCTAACACACATCGAAACCATCTAAACATTTTCTTTCCATAAGAATTATATATGGCAATATTCAATATCTATGTAGCTGGTTATTTCTAACACGCCAGAATTACTGTTATAACTGCAAAACAAAGAATACAAGAGGCAGATGTCATGGCACATTCTATTGAGCATGTTCTTATTATCCTTCTGTGGAGTTGTTCATTTGCCATTAATTACAATACTAGTACCAAGAAAAGAAAGGCGAGTCTGTTTTTCCTTATGTCTTGAACTTATCTAAGAAATTTTTGTTATTTCTTTTTTTTTGTCATATTTGTTAGGATGACAATTTAAAAAAAATGTATGTAAGTCGTAGCTAAGCTACTTGATTAAAAGGAAGATGATTATATTCTTAACATTACTTTTACCCTTATTTTCGTTAAATAGGTTGTGAACTAGAAGATGGGTGTATGCAAGTCAATGATTATAAAGTTGACGGAGAAAAATGTATAAAATACAGATGTATTATGTCTAGTTCTGGAGACGGCTTTATTGCTACTAAAATCAAAGAAATAAGAGGTTGGTTATACTAATGTTAGGACCTATTATTATAGATACCACGACCATTTTAGTTTTTACTTTATCCGTACTCTTTATCAACACTGTTTTTATTATGCTAAAGCTGTATGAGATTATCACATGAACTCGCATTAAATTTTATCCCTGTTGGTACCATCATTAGAAAATTCGAAACCTATTTTTGTATTTAAAATAATATATTATGAAATGTTAGAATTACTGTTTGTTGCACTAATTGGAATATTATATTATATTATGAAATTTTTACACAGTTTTTAATCATCTTATGATTTGTTTGTCATAACAAATTAGCAATAAATCACTGATTATCATTAATTTTAAAGTCTTTCCCTTTTTATGTATTCCCATCCTAAATTTTCAATATTCATGTTAATATTTTATTCAATACTTCTAGGTCGCTTAGACCACGATCAATGCTATCATTGTTCATGTATATATTTTATCAAAACTTCTAGGTTGCCTAGACCATGACCAATGCTTCTTCCCTGGAGCTAAGAAAGTAGAAGACTGTAGTACTTATGTCTGTTCAAGGGACGGAACCTTCAAGATAGTTGATCCACGTAAGTTTATTTCAGAACAGTCAGTTCAAAAAAATGTATCTTTCATTCAATGTTTGCTGATTTCTATTTTATAGCTGATTTGACGTAATATACACACTTGGCGATTGTATAATGCATCCATCACATTTAATTTGCTGTCATATGACTATCACATTATTTCTCTGTGAAGTCCTTCATTTAAATGAAAGTAAACTCCATCTAACATGTAATTTGCTGGATTTTCAGTAAATTGGGAAAACAAATATTTTCTGAGGAGATGGAGACTCTTCTGCTGAATATTGCAATCAGATACTTGAAAACAAATCATTTTGATTATATCTGAGCAATCAACTTTTCAAACAATAAATGTTGTACTGTCTACGGCTGGTGCTTTTGAAATGCTTATTCAATCATATTATTGTGACGTCACTTTGTATGTTTCTTTAGAATTTCAAATGTGACGTCACTTTGTGCGTTGAGGCTTTGGCTAACTCGGCTGTGTATTTTTATGTGTTGGATTAAGTTGTTTTATGTAATGTATCCGTTTTTATTCTGTAGTTAGTCCCCACTTCGGTTTTATCATGTATATCTTTTATATAGTCATTTTATAAAATTTACTGTTTGCTAAAGTATAAATTATTCTAAATAATAAGGATGTTCTTGTCCCAGGCAGAAAACCCTGGCCGTGTTAGGCGCAACATTTTGGAAGTTTTGGTCATCGGTGCTCTTCAGCTTTGTACCTGTTTTGGCTTTCAAACTTTTTTCATCTGAGCGTCACTGGTTAGTCTTGTGTGGACGAGACGCACGTCTGGCGTATTAAATTTTAAACCTAGAACCTTTTGTTAGCTATTATTCGTGTGTTTCTTTGTCCTATATGTTCTCCCATTTATTTGTATTGTAGTCATGTCATGTAATGTTGTCATTTTAATGTTATATTTAACATTGCCATAAAAGCGGGAGGTTTGGCATGCCACAAAACCAGGTTCAACCCACCAATTTTTTCCTAAAATGTCCTGTACCAAGTCAGGAAAATGGCCATTAATACATTATAGTTGGTTTCTGTGTTTTTGTTGTGTCGTTGTTCTCCTCTAATATTTGATGCGTTTCCCTCAGTTTTAGTTTGTAACCCGGATTTGTTTTTATCTCTATCGATTTATGAGTTTCGAACAGCGGTATACTACTGTTGCCTTTATTTAAACTGTATTATTTTGACTAAGAACTTGTATTCTGTTGCAGAATGTGAATTTCTTGGGAAGTGTATACCCTTAGGATCAAAATGGAAAAACGACGAAAAGTGCAAGAAATTCACGTGCGAGCTAAGCAAGAAAACTGGTCGACCAGTTGTTAAATCTTTTGTTTGGGGTAAGATATATTGACACTTAAGATTTTACTTAAAACAATACAAGCTCAGTGTTAATTTTATATGTAAAGTTTATTATCTATTACCAATATCAAATCAAATGTGTGACACAATCAATTAAACAAGAATAAAAAAAATAGTACACACCTATAAAAAAGAGTTTTTGCTGATCTTGCAAGTATTCTTTTATTTCATTAATATACTTCTTCTTTTATTAAAGGCTGCAAGGGAAGAAATAAATGTGTTAAGTTTGGTGGGAAAAGAAGATTGAGAAGATGTGTTGTACATCAGTGTCAAAGAACAGATGCTGGACCTAGTTTTGTCCCTGTTAAAATTGGTAACTATTTGACACAATCTTTGTAATCAGAAATTTGATTTAAATGTGATTTACACTTATCAGGTATGTTACCACTGCTCAATCGACGGAAGACAGTGTTATTGCAAACTTAAATCTTCATACTAGTTTTTTGTCATCGGGTTTTGATATCAAGATACATGTAATTTGTTGCCCAATATTTGTAGTTTGAAAATCAAGTAAAAGGCATTTTGCAGTATTGTTCTTAATCAAATTTTCAAAGAACAATATTTTTTTATAGTATAAGTTGAAAGGAAATGAAGGGAATCGGCTTATCTCTTTTGATTTTATGGGTAATAGCCTAGATAGTAGTTATGCACGTTTGAAACTCTGTAGATAATTCAGTAGGTACAAAAAGAGCATCTACACAAAGAACATACATATCAAACATAAGATTCTTTATATAAGACATCCTGTGACTAAATATCTATTCGGGTTAGACTAGCGCTGTTTACTCATGTTCATATATCATCATTTTCACATGTTGCAGATTTACTTAAATTCAAGAAACCTTTCAGGAAATATGTAACACAAAACTTTCATGTACTTATTACGTCATCAGACAAACTAATTAATGTACCTGGAAAATGCTAGTGAAAGATTTAGGAGAGTTTGAGATTTTCTCATTCTCATTCATAAAACAAAAGGCAATTCGTATACATGTGCGTTATGTTATAGGATGTCCAAAAGGAAAAACATGCAGGCCACTTGATTCATCGTGGGTCAATAAAGATTTATGTGTTAAAGAGACATGTGGTTACGAAGAGGGAAACATGTTCCCGGATATATTGCCATCACCATACGGTAAGTTTTGTTGATTTTGAAATATATTTTTATATCAATAAACAGAGGTAACTATTATGTTGATTGTAGAAATCGAAAGCATTTTTCGCACGACATGACGAAATATTTAGAAAATGAGGCAACAGTAGTTAATTGAAGTTAAAAACTAGTGAATCTAATTAGGACAATACCAACCAAGACAAATAATCTAGATGGGAGTCGAAAACAGAAGGAGATCGGAAACGCCAATAGGGTAAGCATGCCTCGGTATTCATGAATCACCCACCTTTTGGATACAGACTGAAAAATAACATTAGAATCTCAGATCATACAATTTTGCTGCTTTCTGCTGAAAACATAACACAATAAGTTTCATCTTATCGCTGAAACAACAAAAAATAGATGATAGTTGCAGTAAAATTTATGGTGCATCGATTTCAATCGTTAAAATATGTAAAAATATGTAAAATGTACACTAGAAAGTTCATCGATTTCAGTCGTAAGGCCATGTAAAATGTTGACTTCTATTAGTCAGGTTAAAAAGAAGATATGAAAGTTGAAATCTGAATTTACTTGGCAAAAAGACTGAAAAAGATCAGAAGACAATTGAGATAAAAACAAGCATTGGGCAACAACAAATAAAAAAAACCAAAAAAAAAAACCGGAGTGAACGCAGAATTGGGAAGAGAAAACATTTCTTGCCCAACTAATGGAACCCTTTGGAATGTTCACGACACGTAACAGTCCAGAATTAAGTTGTACCAGTTGATAAAACAAAAACAGTATGGGAGAATGAGATTTAAGCTGTGACAAATAGAACAAATGTTCAGTAACGATGGCGTCGGAAAAACTTATCTTTTTGGTCAGCGTCTTTTGGGTATATGACGGGTTTCCAATATATTGAAAGTCTATATACCCGTTCATACGGCCTTTATTCGGCATTTTATATATATAAGTAACACATAAAAAGATATTGTTTTGACTTAGTCGCAGATGAAGAGTTTGGGTTGGTGTTAAGCATTTGATTTTCTGCAGATATATATTTTGAATGAAAGTATGTAGCATATATTTGTATCAATGACCTTTCAAGTTGAACTCGTTCTATAATGACATTTTCGTCTTGTCTTTCACGTTTTGTCCTTGTCTTCCATAACCCCTGATATTATCAGTTATTTTCACAATTTTCCCGTTAAAGGATTAAGTAAAAAATATTCTGGTCCTTTTATTATTGCATTCGACAGAGAATTTTCTCAATAATATAGAAACATGGACAGTCCGATAATACATTGGCGAGAAACAAAGTTGTATAAATGTAAAGTTGAAATTGTCCCTTCGAATGAAAAACAGACGTTATCGTTAAATGGGTGACTTGGATGAATAGCTGTGTAAGAGATGACTACAAATAAAATTTTGCTGCAGAAACTTATTCTATAAGCTGCCGCGAGTGGTCGAAAAACTGCTTTTAAGTCCTTAATTTTTGTATTTATCTATTATTACTTTTTACGGTGGTGTTCGAAGCGCGTAATCTTTAGTTTTCCCTGAAAGTGGTTTATCTATTGACCCTTTTTACTTTGATTGTGTGTATTTTGTGAACTTGATTTTTTGTTGCTGTGACCTTTACGTTTGCATATACATATCTTTTTTCAAAAAATGAATGTACTATAAACAGTTTCCCTAGGACAAATCGAAACCAAATTTAGGATACAAGATTTATAACAGATATGTTTTTGCAAATTATGCATTTGACAATATAATTTTATTTTAATTATGTGTGTATATGGATATATTATTATTATAACACAGAACTGTTATTTGATTAAAGGATGCACCGATGAATCTGGAGTTTGTCGACCATTTGGCGCCAAGGTCTTAGATGAGAACAATCCATGCGTTAAATACGAATGCACACGATATGGTACGATGGCACCGGTTCAAGTTGGTATGTAAATAGGAAGTGGTTTTTTTGTAGCTTTGTTCTATTTGTCGTTTTCTCGGTAAGCATTGAAATACAATGAAACCATAATGCTGAATAATTGCAGTATTTAAAGCATAAATCCATTTACGTCGAAGAAAATTGAGAGCTGACAGCAGAAACTATAGCCACTCCTTTTAAAAAACCCTTGTACTAAGTCAAGTAGTTAGTTTGTTGTTTTCGTAATTTATTCTGAAGCAGTTATATGACATTGAGGATTTTGGTCTGAAGACATATATTTAAATACGCTATGATTACATTAAGTCATAATGTGTCTAGACGTTAAGTATATACATTGTAAGCTGATCAATTGATACCTACAGATAGATCATTAAGTTGTTGGATTGATTACCTATCGATGTAAGTCTGTTCCATCTTTTTATATAACTGACAAGTACAAATTATTTGAAAGTGTTAATTCAATATGTGGTCGAGAAGTTATTATATGTGTATGCTATCTAATATTTGAATCGGTAGAAACAATAGCTGATCATAGCTGTTTAAAACGACTTACGATGGAGATGGTATTTGATTTCGTCATAGCCATTTCAAAGTAACTTATTTTCATGACAAATTGACACGATTAATATTTTGCGTCATTTCCTAGAAAAATAATTTTTAGTTGGTACTCTTATTCAGGTCCCTGATGTTTGTTGCGTATTTCTATCCTGTATGATTTATTCCTTTTATTCTGCTCCATGTGAATTTAATCATGTATATCAACAAAAGTGTTTGTGTTATCTTCAGTTTGACATTACTGTAAGGGCATTAAATATTGCAAAATATGGGCAAAATATACGAAGGCACAAAATGATTAGCAGGTATCTCTCTTTTCTTTTACTTTGTTTATATTTAATTTTTATTCCATAAATGAATATATTACCTACAGTCGTATATCAGCTTGTCATTATGTGATATGAGATAAATCGAATACAGACAATAAATATAAATTATTAGGTATGTTGCTGTGCAATCCGAATTTTCGTTTCTCTGCCAGTTAATCAGTTTATAATGCATTTCAGGGTGTCCTTACAACGATAAATGTAAGCCTGATGGAGCCATATGGAGAGACAGAAAAACATGTACAACATATAAATGCAAGCGAGAAAATATTAGTCCAACACGGGTTATAATGCATACAGTTGAAAGGCCAGGTACTTATCCTCCTTCATTTCTGTTCAATACGTAATAAAACTAATTGATTTCAAACTGACATTAATTTAGTTTTTGTATATATCTAAAAAAAATACACAAATAATTTATAAAACCATTACAATCCTGGTATCGTTGATGGTGTTTTTTATTTGCCTTGGCAAAGTAAATTTTATACATTGCAAGTATAATCAAAAAAAATTTATAAATATAATCGATTATATTTTCTTGCATGTAATGACTGATATGTATGTAATTTATTGATACCCTAGTGTCAAATCATTTTAGCATAAAAAAGTAGAATATCAAAAATACCGAACACCAAAGTAATTCAAAACGGAAAGTCCTTTAACAAAGGCAAAATCAAAAGCTCAAACACACCAAACGAATTGAAAACAACTTTCATATTCCTGACTTTGTACAGACATTTCCTTATGTAGAAAATGGTGGATTATACCTGGTTTTATAGCTAGCTAAACCTCTGACTTAGCATATCACTTCTAATGTAGTAATCTTAATCAAACACTTGACAGTAGCAAATACGAAACCAAAACACAAAGGGAAGGTGTATTCAGTAGATAAGAATCCTTAAAACTTTTCCAATTACTAAACAAATGTCGTTAGTTAACAGCTGGCAGCTACTCAAACCTATATCACTAGCACAACGAACGCCCCCTAGATTTGCTAGATTGTAGGACTGTACAAACCCGGCTTCAATGTTTTAAACAAAATATTCCCCAAAAACAGACATTCTAAACAAATAATATTTACTTTAATATTGTTGTTTTCTTGTTCTTTTTTTAAACCACGTATTAACAAAAATACCAAACTCCAATGTTATTATAAAAAGGGGAAGTCCATAATACCTGTCAAAACCAAATGATTTCTCCTAAAGATTTCTTTAGCTTTTTATTCACAGTTTTTTATGGAGTTATACTTACTTTCTTTTCAAAAAAATGATATCAAAGCTCACATTTGAACTATTTTTGTTATATTTAAAGGATGTAAAGGAATAGATGGAAAATGTGTGAAAGAGGGCGATACCAGACGATACGAATGTACAGATTATGTATGTGACACAAGCAGAGGAGGACTTGTCATTACTGGTCAAGGTATTTATGTTATGAAGTTACGTTACGCATGTACTGACTATGTTTATGACACAAGCAACAGGGTTTCTTGTAACTGGAAAATATATATACGTAAGAGTTTAAGTCAAACACAATTAATAAAAAATCAGGACAATCATAGATGCTATCCTAAAACTTAAAAGTGTTACTTCCTTCATTATTATGTATATTTTACAGCAACAAACCCTCATTTCTATGAAAATGAAAAGTTTCAACAAACCATAACGATAAATGAAAATTGAGCTAGTGAGTTTAAATTATTTAGATGTTTTAATTCTTTCAGTGTTACTGTTGCTATTTTATTTGAATGAAATGTTTCTTCAACTTCACTACGAAAAATTTGATCGAAATTGTTTTTCCGAAACTAAAATGTATAGTATATTAACTCTTTATATTTGATATTTGTTCTCTTATGGGAAGGTATTGATAAATTTTACTTATTATATCTTTTCCATAGACCACGAATTTCAAAACTGCAAAATATTATCAACTTTTTGTAGGGTGTATGCATTGGAAGGAATGTAAACCACTCAATTCAACATGGATGGAGCCACGGACGTGCATAACATACCAATGTCGATATGACCCGGTATTAAACGATTTGTTCATAACAGAAAAACAATATGGTAGGCTGTTGTATCATATCTGATTCTAACAATTAGGAAAGCATGGATAATGTCCCAAACTGAGGGCAAATCAATTCGAAAATAAACGTCTTAAGGGACTAAAATGAGTAATTATTACAATGCGACGATTAATAGGCAAAGGTGGTTTGGTTAGGTTAATATGTTTTACTCTAGTTGCACCAAACAAGTACTGGAAGAATAGCCAACATGGAAACAGTGAGCGTAACTTTCAAAAAATTAAGCTAATACGCATCTGTTACTCGATTTCTCTGGTGAAAAGTATATAAATCAACGTTTAAATGATAACTTTGAGAGCCAATGAATTGTTTCAAAGATTGTTTACGAATTACAACACAAAAAAATCAATAGTGCATATTTCCTTAATTTAAATATTAATTCTAATATCGAAACGTTTTAATATTTTGATAAGAAAATATCATTGATGTTTTAGAAAGAACGATTCTTTATCATACCAATGTATGAGATGACCAAGAACAAACAATTACTAGATTTATGGCACTAGTTTACAAGAGTTCTTTATCTATGAGTTAAAGTTATATCTGAATTTTTTTTTCAAAAGAAATCTTTAAAAAAATTTTACTAGTAAAAGAGAGGCGGAAGATATCAAAGGAATATTCAAACTTAAGTCGCAGAAAAACTGACAAAATTAAAGCCATGCCTGAAAACGAAAACAGTGGATAAGACTAACAATAGTCTGCATAGAAACATAGAATACTAAGGACTGAGCAATACCGAAAATCGGGGAGATCTCAGGTGCTCCGGATGGGTAGGCAGATCCTGCTCCACGTGTAGCACCAAGTATACTACTAATGTCAGTACATATGCAGTGAAAACACCCATTCGGTGATGTCAGAATCGAGGTAAAGAGGACGAAATTGTTGTTAGGAACATATCTTTCGTCGCCTGTGAAATAGATAATCCATAAGGTCATCTCTTGGCGTCCGTAAAGAGTTTCAAAGGGTGAATCCAGCTTTACCACTTGGATCCAATAAATGCAAGCTTTGGAATATCGTATCAACTGGGAGATATGTACTCCGAGTGCAGTCGCTGCTGGAATGTTGCTACATAGAAAAGGAAAGTTCATACCTGGGAATTTAAAATCATTTATGTTGTAAAGTATAGTTCTCAACTGACCCCTATTTTCCATTTCTAGATGTAAGTCAAGATATGAGGCAGAATAAACTGTATCTGTGGTACCCTTTATGTAATGTTTGATAGGATAGATGCGTTCAACATATGCATCTAAATTTGAATTATTTAGTGAAGTGACATCATCTATATAATACATAATGCCACTTCAGAGAATTTTTGCTTAAATAAGAGTGTTTTTTTTTTAACAAAGTATGATTTATTCCTCTCTAAAGCAAGATTTCGTATCTACGTTGACCATTTATGTTTATGAAACAAAGTTAAACTGTTTGACCAATTATTTCCATAAGTTTTAAGTTTTGAACTCGGAACACTTGTGTAAAGTGTAGAACTTTCAAATATTTTTATACTAGAAGAGAAAAGAGACTAAGTTAGCATGCACTATAACAGATCTGTGGAATTTAGGGTTTCTATATCTGATCCCCACCGCCCCTAGAGTAGGTAGTTTTACAATAGATCTGAAGTCTGGCTTTGACTGCTGATAAAATTGATGTTAATATTTTGGAAAGACCCAGCAATATAGCATTGTAGCATTGTTTGTAAGGATACTTATGTGATTTAGTTACCCGATAATACAGATGTTGCTTGAGGCTTTATCTGCGGGACATAAAATATTTGTTATGGAGGTAAAATAGGACAGGGGTAACATTTGGGTCTTTTAAGTTCAATCAAGCATGAGTACTCATAGACCCTGTCAGTTTTTTACTATTCAAATTTTTATCAACGACCTTACCTCCTATACCCGTTTAGAAAGAATATCTGCGTCTTCTTTTGTGTTCAGAGCATCATCTGGCATAATCAAAGACTGAATCCATTAGTATTTTAACGATGTTTTTCAAATTCATGAATTAAAGCTAGTGTTTTCGGGCCTTTGGATAGCACATTTTGCAGAGAGGTGATATTTACAAGCACTATGCAGGTCACAAGTAATAACGTGGCTGACCTGTTTATATATGAATGGGGTATTATCACAGAAGCGCTCAGGAGGTTTAGATTTGATGTCGTCAATATTTAGAACTACAACATGTGTTTGTAATTAAAATTTTAGTCACAATTGTTTTTTTAAAGGTATAAGAGATGATAGGTACATACTGATATAGTAGCGGGGTACATGTATATATTCGATTAAACCTTTGTTGGCAAAGGACAGTTTTAGAAAGCATAATTTATCCATTTTACATTTTCCAATGCCAACCAGTCTGTGACGGGCGATATCCAAGATGATAGCTGTTCGTCTGTATTGGTTTGAAAGCGTTTTCTCTATAACCGGTTGAAGCCGTTCCGTTGAAAGATTTACGGACGCCATCCTGATTTCATAGACGGTTATTGGATATCTGTGTCACAAATGACCTTTGATATATTCCACTTGCAGTAACCATATTCAATTCCATTTTCTTCGATCGACACTTATCGCCGCATATTGTAATGAATACCTAGACGGATGACACACGTGGAGCAGGCTCTGGTTACCATCTGTATAATCTAAGTTCACATCCGATTTCTATTGCAACTTTGGTATTTTTCCTCCACCTTTTTGGGTAAGAAAACCAATTACAGGTAACCAATACAAGACGTCAGTGTCTAACAAACACTACCCAAGTTCGAGATTGAAGAAGTGAAATGAATAACAAGCTTAAAGTAACTATGTTTATGCTATTGTATTTCAGGCTGCCAAGATGAAAGTGGAGAATGTTTCAGCAAAGGCCAGCGAAAGAAAAGAAGTTGTAATAAATTTGTTTGTAATGCAAAGGGAAACTTCCAAGTAGTCAAAGCAGGTAAACGCAGTCCTTTTCATGCATAGGAAATAAAGAGGATGTAGATAACTATTAATTAATTATTACCAAAGCATCGAATGATGGACAAAATACAATTTATTATTAATTTTTTGGTATGCATGTATAACATATAACAATAATGTTCATAAAATAAAAAGAAAAAAATGCTAACCAATTTGGTAATTCTGTGCCTGTTATGATTTTTTTTATATTAGTCGTCTTTCGATTAATGTTTGTTTTTTACCAAATTTTTAAAGACACTTCAAAGATTGTGAACTGAATGTTATGATATAGGTACAACACAATTCTATTCATTCACAATACTTTTTTGACATATTTCGTATGTGAACATCGGTAAATTCAGTAATGTAACCTGTTATTCATATTTGATAATTGGTTAGCAACACAAACAAACACTTTGGCCATTAAAACTGAAAGTAGCTGAAAGTCTGTGTTACAGATGTTTTTGATTTTCTGCCATATACAATGTATATAGAAATGTCGTTTCACGAAAGTCTCACATATCAGGTTCATGTTTTATATCATCATACATTTTTCCTTTATTTACTTTTAAAAGAACTAAGGTTGTTTACTTGAGTGTATACTGCATCAAATTTATAAGATTAAAATTGTTTTCAAGTTTTTTGGGTGTAAAAACTCAAAGATATCTAGCGTGTACGCCAGACGCGCGTTTCGTCTACATCAGACTCGTCGTTGATGCTCGAATTAAACAGTCAAAATTTAAGGTCAAATCAAAAAGGAATTTGTAGAGCTTTAAACACCGAAAGGTTGTGCCAAATACGGCTATGATAAAAGTTTTGACCGAAAGACATTTTGAAGCTTTGCGTGATTCTTATCATATAACATAAATACTGTAAGCCAACTAATTTTCGCGAGCAATTTATTTTCGAAACTTTCGCGAGTAGAAATATAACGCAAATATAAATAGCTGCGAATATGTATAACTTGGATCGTTCCCTATTTAACTTTTTTAAATGCAAAATAAAGTATCTGCCAAAATATGTTGGTTTACAGTAATGGACAACAAAGAAATAAATATTCTGTGCCTTATTTCCACTAAAATATTTGTAATATAGGTTAACATTGATGTTGTCAATGGCTAGAACACTAGATTTGGGGCGATTTTAACTTGAAATAAATGAAAATGTGTGTTGCCCTCTAGTAGTCATGTTGGTTGATTGGTTTCGGTGTTGGTATCTTATTGACATGGCGTATACACTACATCGGCTTTGATGCATATAAATTGAAACCTAAATTATTAAAAAAAATATATAGTTATACATAATACTTAAAAATACGACGATTGAAAGAAAGGGTAGCTACTGATAATATCACAATGATGGTTTTATTTACTTTATCTGACATCCAGTGTTATCTATCTCTACGAAAGAGAATAAAAATTGAACACGACTTCAACTTATACTGATACAAAACAATTATCTTTCTATCTTGCACATATCTCTTTCTGTGATATAAATTATGATTTGTGTAAACATATTGGATTATTTTAGGGTGTGAAAAGAACGGAAAATGTTACGATATTGACGAATCATGGCAAGAAGGGTGCGTTTGGTTCACATGTGCTTTGCTCGATAAAGGACCTAACTTTGTAGAAACAGAGATTACTGAACGTCACGGTAAGTAGATGTTGATCTCGGAACACACTTTTTGCTTTAAAGAATATGATGTCGCTGCATTTGAACAAAAACTCTTATAGTTCACAAAAGGGATTATTCAATATACAGTTTGGTAAAGTACAACACATTCTATATGCACAAATATCAATATTATTCTTCATGTAACATAACGTTTCATGTTAATGTCATTATTCTATGAGGTGGATGCTGACAAATTTTAAAGTTTAGAATTTTACCAGCATAGCTTGTCCTCTATTTTGCAATCATTGTGTTTATTATGAGTTTGTATGACTGATAGTATGTCGTTTTGTCTTTAACATTTATGGCACTATAGTTTTATTCTCCTGGCAAATAGCCTTTGTTTTATTTCCACATTTATGGCAGTTTATTTGTGGGATCATATAGTATTTTCATCAACATTTTAGCTTTGTAGTGATAGTTCTTATACAATATGTTACTTTGGTATCTTCTTTTTTTTATCTTAAATTGGTGTTCTGAAGGCTGATAGTATGATGTTTTATTGACATTTGAGGGTTATATTGTGTATTTTGGCGAAAAACATATCGTAATGTCATCGACGCCTTACGTACTTTTTATCGTTTGTAATTGATTTCAGTTTATTGCTATTTCATGGAATGCATCAAATTCATTAAATTCTCATTATCACCATATTTTTTTTTCAATCAAATTTCCCAAACGCTTCATGGACTTTTTTTAATGCACTTTTCGTTCCATATCATTATTGTATTATTTTAATAAGAGTAGACTTGCTACATGTCAGCATAAAATACTCGTTGATTTGATCTTTGTCATGTACACAGGTTGTGTTGGAGCTGATGGTAAATGTTATGAGCCAGGTGAAACGTTCACAGATGGATGTATATCCTTCAAATGCAAACCAGGTGGAGATTTCGAAGAGGAAAACTTTGGTGAGACTGTCTTCTATTCTTGTCTAACCTTAATATATAAAAAGAGATAATTTTACATCATTTTAAACCATTTCACAGGGCTACGAAAATAATGCGCTTTGGACAATTATTTAAGATAATCAGAATTAATGATTATATGGGTATTAGATTTTGACTAGCAAGTCAGGTCATTTATTTGTAATCACATTTCTTTACTGTAATATAAACATAATAAAATGTACTATTATTGTGACAAATGCAATTTGTGTCTTTAACCAAAGTCGTCATACACACATGCTGCGTTCGATGTACTTTTCTTAGTAAAATTAGGGCAGTTAAAGTCAATCACCACATGGTTTCTTTTTAATCTTAAATAACTTTTGATTAATGAATGATATATGATTAATTCTATTTTTTTGTTCAATTATCAAATCATAGTTTGAACGTCCAAGTTCAAGTAGTGGGTGTCATCGAAATGCATCGCTGAGATTACTTAATTCATAGCATGGCATATATATAATTATAACCGATTTCAATGTAAACTATGCAGGCTGTGTTGGATTTGACGGAGGATGTGTATTACCAGGAGAAACAATAGATAATGACTGTAACAAGTACCAGTGTGACCCGGCCTCGTTGGCCTTGCAACCAGTTCATATGTGTAAGTAGCAGTGTAATATGTCCTCGTTAACCTTGAAAACAAGCATATATGCGTAAGTACTAGTATGAACCGTTCTTGTAAGCCTACCAACCAGTATATAAGTGCAAGCGCCAGTGTGACCTTCGTCGTTTGCCTTACGATGATTATAAATCTAATGTGTTCATATGGTGTGACCCATCATCATTAGATTTGCAATCATCGTTAGGTTTACAACGTTAATTCCAGTGTGACCCTTCTTCATTAGTTTTGCAACAAAGCTGTTATATATATATATTAATAAAGCGATCTGTTGTTTGCTTTGAATGATTGTTTTTGTTGATTGCCTTATTTCAGTGACAAACATATCTTAGGTATATGGTATAAAGTTTTGGCTGCCAACATACGAAATGCATTCTACTTTTACAGTTGATGCGAGGGTTTTTAAACGTGTAATGTGCCTAGCATAGCACAGGACTCGAAATTAACGTCCTCATATCGACCCGAGGTGATGCATTTATTTTGCAAAGATTACATACTGTAAGATTTGCGGTTTGTATAAATAAATTAAAATAAATGCGTTTGCCCGTATACCATCAGCTACTTTAGCATTGTTTCATTGTGTTTTTTCTAGTCTCTTCTAGGGCAGTAAATTTTCTATTCGGCATTTATAATACAGCAAACAAACAAACAAACAAACATATAAACAGACACAAAACCACACACTAAATTGAGATGTAACGCTATAAGTTTCAACTACGATAAAACATTAATCCAAGATATTACCTCTAAGTGGTGCTTACAAAATACATGTTGTGTATATAACCAAGAGTTTCTATACATGTTTTAGCTTGTAGCGTTAATGGAATCTGTAAAGAAATCGATGATAAATGGTTTGACAAGGAGACATGTCTGGGTTACAGGTGTGTTTACAATCCAGAAACCAACGATGTTGACGTCATAGAAAGAATTGCAGGTTGGTAATATAAGAAATTAATACAGGTACATCCTTTTATCATATTACACCAGATGCATGTTTCGTCTACATTAAATTCATCAGTTGTGCTCGAATCAAAACAGATGGATGGCAAAATAAATTATGAAGTCGATGAGCTTTAGAAAGCAAGTTTCAAATAGTTGGGTCAAATACTTTAAGACCATATATGTCTGGATATCAACACAGGCTCCATAGTTCTTTGAGCCTGGAGCCCATGCATCTTGAGGTCGGATGCCTATCTTGGGACTTCGGAGTCACATCAGTGGAGCCCGGCGCCTTATTCTTAGAGTCTGGGACCCAATTTGTTGGAGCACAGAGCCCATTATTTGGAGGGGAAACGATTATTTGAAACTCAGAGCCTGTTTTATCCTCAAATTAGTGTTTCGAAATATTTTAAAATTTAATGATCAGATCAAATTGCTGGTAATGACCTTTTATGTTTTTTATTCTTCAGCTTACTCGAAACATCCACGATTTGAATACCATATGTTTTCTTTTAAAATGTGCACTCTTTTTTGATTATCCAAGTTTAGATTTTATACTTTACAAGCAACTTTGAAGTAAGACTGCCTATCGAACGTACCGATGACTTTTAATCAAGAAAATATTTCTATGTTACTTAATTGGTATCGCAGGTTGATTGATCTGTCCTGTAAAGTCATGTCAACTGTACACAATGTTGATTAAATTTTGTTTAAATCTACAAGATTTAATCTGACGCATGCATAGCAGGGGATGCTTACCTAGTCGGCGCACCCATTCCTGCTTCTTTTAGAGTTCATCTTATTTCCCCGGGTTTTTTTTTAATTTGTATTTATACATCGGTAAGTTGCTTAAATTAATCAATATATAATTGATCCTTATGATGATGTTAAAACTGATAAAACAATATACTTTCACTAAACCACAAAACTTTTGGCAAGTTTTCGTTAGTTTTGTTTTGGAAATTATTTAAATTTAAAAATATAAACCGAGAGAAGTAGGTTAATAGATGTTATGCATGTACAGGAGAGTTACCGCTTTCTCCCGATTCCTCAATGAATTAACATGTAAGACTTAACTAACCGGGTATTAAATATTGTATTAGTTAATCATAGTGTTTCAATTTTTTCAGCAAAATACGTAACCACGCATGGTAAAATAAATTAGTACAATGTCCGAGGCTTTAGGTTGGCTTGAAAAGAATTTACCAAGCCTCATACATTATTTTAAACAGACATCTGTTGTATCATATCATCGTTTGTCCATGATTGTTTTTAGGATGCCAAACTGCAAACAAATGTGTACGTCCTGGAGCAAGAGTGAAGGGAAAAGATTGTGTAAAGTTTCAGTGTAAAAATGGAAAAATGGTACCAACTGATATAGGTTCGTAACAATATTTCCAATTGAACGGATAACCTTGATTTGCGCCTTTTAAAAATTTATTATACAAATGTCGGACTGCTATTTTCCACTTACAAATTTATATAGTTCATCGGATTCGAAGTCTTACTGTTCAGACATGATCTGCTATGCAGCAAGGCTACTTTATGTCGAACCGCCTATACCACTATGCCAAGATAATTAGATAAAAATATATCTTTCGTTTGTAAGGTAATGCCTTTGCTCGTCGATAAATATAAGTTTAAACTATATTTTCTCAATGACAACAATTATATGTACTAATATTTATATTAAAACGTATCTGTAATTGTTACTGTAAACAGTTACTGATCAAAATCACATACATATACAATACAACATGAATTAGTAAAAGAAATTGGTGACAAAACAAGTAATAATAAAAAAAATTATTGACTGCAGTCAAACAGCTTCAAACAGGAATATATTATATTTATTTTCTACCATATAGGTTGTGAATTCGACGGAGAATGTCTGCCTTTACATATGAGCGTACAAGAAGGTTGTTCATGGAGGAAATGTGTGATTGCAGCAGAGGGTCCAAACTATATTGATACTAGACTTATAACTGAGCACGGTAAGATAGCAAACTGTTTATGTATTTTTTTATTCAAAAGGATTTTTTTCATTTTTGTCTCGCCTTGACGGAGTCAAAAAGCGAACGACTTATAATAAGTCAATGGTATTTGGTATGCAGTTGTATTAGCATTGGCACAGCTCATTCCATGGAGATTGTTTAGCCATGTACCTTCAGTCATGGTTCATCGACTTTGAATATTTGCATAACTTACATGTTAAAGTATTGCTATTTTAATTTCAACATTTGCATTATCAAAATTACAAAAAGGCGAGACATATCTCTGTGATAACAGTTTATTAAAGAATGAACTATTTATAAGGCCTTATGCCAAATATATTGAAAACATATTAGTCTATATTTAATTTCGAGGTATTACACTGGTAGATGTTTACTTTTATATCCTAAATACATGTGTAAAAAATACGAAAATGGGAGGGACAACAATTGGAATTGTGTGAACTATTTACGGTACATAAACATGCCAGACATATATCACTTGTAAAAAATTTCAAGGTAACATCCAGTAGTAAGCGTTGAAGCCAGGATTATGACAAAACTGGTTAAAATGTCATATTGACATTAGTGGACATATGCCTGTGTGATTTTTAGTGGAGTTAAACTTAGCAAGTTTAAAACCTGAGACAATGTATTGAATAACCTATTCATTTAATATAGACACCAAAGAACTTGTGAAGTGATATGGTCTTTCATTCCTTCTAGTATTATGCTCAAGTAGTTTACAATTAAGAGTTTCAAATGTAAGTTAAGTCACCATCATGTGACTAACACATTCATAAGATAAATAATGGTTCTATCGGCATTACAAGACTGAAAAGTTAAACACATATTGGATGTTTTTATTTTTTAAAAGGTAAATAGGTATTGAATTATTCATATTTCAAGTGAAATCGTTGAAGAACTGAAAAGGAATAAAATATTTAAATGGTTATTGAATTGATTTTTCAATTTGATTCGTTTAAAAAAAGACACAATATTCATCTAAGTTTTATTCTTATTCCAATATTATTTGTTTTCTCTTCATATATCTAATGGATTGAACATATTTTTTATACATTTCCTCCAAAGGTTGTTGGGACTGTTACCATAAGTGCCATCGTGTTGGAGACGAGTTTACTCATGGTTGCAGAACAACACAATGTATGCCTGGTGGATTTTCAAAAACTATAACAAATCGTGAGTACAATATTTACTTGATTAACTTATATAGATTGTAAAACAGACTGTACTTTGTGGAGCAAAAAGTAGCGATGAAAATATAAATTGTGATTCATTTGTCATTCATGGTGATATAAACTGATTCACGTTTATCTGTAGATTAGATAAAAAAAATGTCTAGTAACAACATGTACTACTTTCTTCTTTTTGTTCCTTCTAGAGTCAAACGTTGATACATGACTATAGCAGATATGCAGATTGTTTAATTTTGAAATTCTAGATACAGTACTGTACACAGGTGGTAACAAATAATACACAATATTTGTCTAACTTCGACATAATTTAAAGACGCTTGTCTATTTTAAAGAACTCAGTTGACCTCTTGATTATTTCTTGCCGTTGGCTTGCCGTCTCGTTGATATATCTTTTAACACATGATTTCAATTTGATTTGACAGGTTGTATGACACCTGATGGTTACTGTATTGACTTCAATGAAGTATATGAGTACACAAAAGGTACAGAGAAACAAACATATGTATGCGGTGAAATTGGAGACCTGGAACCAGTGGTTATAGGTAAATATAAAACCAAATACTTAAGTTAAAAACATTATCGCAATCAGGTTATTCATCGATCATTCATCTCTTGAATGGTTTGATTTCAAATTTCTGAGAGAAAAAATTGTTAAGGCAGCTTTTGTGCAAGTACAACACCTCTGCTGATAAACGTTAAACAAGGAGATGTGGTATGATAACCAATGAAAAAAACCAAGGCCAAGTTCATGACATAGTAATAAACCACAAACAAATATATGAAAAACAGCTACATGTATCAACGACAACCACTGAATAACAGGATCCTGACTTAGGACAGGCACACATAGAATGTGGCGGGGTTAAACATGTTTGTCAGCGCACAACCCTCACCAAAACTTGGACGGTGTTGTTTGTAACAGTATAAAATACGAACAAACTGGAGAAGGAGGCTATGTTGAGAAAGGCAAGAAATTTTACATTGCAAAAGGTCATCTATAGAGAGCCCTCAACAATTATTGATCAGGATTCTTTTGTCTGCAAGAGACGTAGCATTCTTTCTAAAAGTGGCATCGTTTTTGACATCCTCATTTCAACTGCACGTATCTGCGTATTGATAGGCGCCTTTCTTTTGCATTGTGTTTTGAGCTTGATAGTAAAGGTCCAGGTATGACTACATATATATACTTTGAGAAATAAACATATATAACAAGCAGTTTTTGATGTATGATTTTATGCAACTGATACTTTTTAAAAGAGTATTATACAAGTGATGATCATCCATTAGATAATTGTAATTCTAATATTTCTGATGCAGATCATAAATGTAAGATGTCAGCTTATGGTAAAGAATATGACGTAGGAGCTGAGGTTGTATTCGAATGTAAAACTTACAAATGTGTCAAGACGATTGATGCAGCTACCTTTGTTCAAGTTAAGGAAGGTATGTATATAATTTTTTTTCTTCTCCAGTCTGGTCTTACGTAAATGGTTTTTTTTTTCATTGTTTCATAAATAGCTTTATGAACCAAAATTGTTGAGAAACGCATATTCTTCTTTAATTTTCCATTGGTTTTCCGAAAAATACTGATGTGACTACAATGTTCTTGAATTCAAGTACTTAGATAAAATTAGTTAATTTAAAAAAAATACTTAATGTGAACAATAGATGTGACATTTTCCTCTCAAACACCTCGCGTTTTTTTTCTGTAATTAAGAAAATGCTGGACCTATCTAACTTTATTCAGTAACATAACTGTTCACATCGCTACTTACATTTGTATCTGTTCTAGTACAGTAAGAAATGATTACCCTTCCAGAGCATTTAAGTTGGAATGGGTTCAGGATGCGGATCTTTAGTTTTAGGCTTTCTCTGAAGTGTCATGTCTGTTTTCTGCATTGTTTAGTTATCCTTCTTTGTCTTGTTTATCCCTATGTCTGTTGATAAATGAAGAAACTCCATCAGGAAAGTTTACCTTACATGTTTATTTATAGAGCACATCCGCGTGCTTGTTTTATTAACATATTTCCTATTTCCAAAATTGGGATAAAGCATATGTGCATTTTTGCTTTGTTTTGCAGAATGTCGAGGGGATGACGGAAAATGTTATCCTATAGACCAATCTGACTGGGATGCAGAGTGTGTACAATATTCCTGCAGTAGGCAGAAAGGTGTTCTTAAGCTGTCATCACAGCAAGGTAGTATATGAAATTCACTCAACTTAATTTCGAGGATACTGTTTAACGCGTTTATTTTTTTCTAGTCGCCCTCGTGTAGATTTGTCTTTTCTTTCAGTCATTTGCTTATGTTAACAAATAAGAGAAAAATCCAAGTCTGATATATTTGCCACAATTCTCTTTCGGAAAATGTTTCATACATGCCAAAATTACTTTGTGCTTTTGATTGATAAATAACACATGTGCGAATCGCTTTCGATTTGATGTCCATGACTACGTCACGTGTTCTTGAATACATTCATCAGGTGCTCTCAAGTCATACAGTTTGAAAGGAGAAAATATAAAATCATTTTTTTACATAATACCCCAAAAGCCTGAACAGAACAGCAGAAACCTCGCATGGTCATCTTGATCTGAGGGCTTGTAACTCTAGTTTTATTATAGTAACATGATTTATGAACTGGAATTTTAGTTTTAATGTTTTAAGTCATGACAAGTTATTTAAATTAGACCTTTATGTAAGCACTGTCGTGATGGCAGATGCTTTATACGGGGACTACTAGTCCAGTAGCAGTGGTAATACTCAGCAATTTGTGTATACATGTATCAAAGTATTCATTATTCATCATTGCAACTTGTTACTGATTTACGGAATATAGAAGCAATGTATCATCATGATCATGTTTCGAAATAAATAATATAAGTTTTCTCTCTTATTCGTTCGAAGGAAAACATTTAAAAGAGTTTTACATGATTGACTTTTGCATATTCCTGATATACCACTAAAATGTGCTAGGGCTTCGGTAACAGAGTACAGTAATTTCATTCAATAAATTCTATTTGTATTTGACCTACGCAAACTTTGAGCCCTATGCTTAACAACCTATTCCTATCTAGGGTTATTTTTGGTTATTTTAGCAAATTGTACTTAAATTAGATAGTGGTCATTAAACTAGGATTCATTGTATAATGCTATATACTTTTTTAGTAGATATATACAAGTCATGTAGATTTTTTTGGTTGTCGGGCGATTTAAACATGTTCAAATGAATACTACAAATTACACCTCATATTCCTACTTTTATGTGTTATAACATTTAATCAAATGATCTGTTTCTCGTGTTGACATATAAAGTGTACATAAGGGATGAATTACTTACCATCTTTCTGTCGGTAAACTGCACCATCCATAAATACATTATAAAGCTCGATCTATGTCCAAAGTGCATGAAAACATCATAAACACAGAAAAGCTGTTTTGTTTAGGCACCGAGTTTGAAATAGTTTTTGGTTATTTCAATACCCTTTTACTCTTCATATTCTACTATACACATGATGACTTTATCAAATAGGATGTAAAGATGCATCAGGACAGTGTCACTCTGTTGGTTCCCAATGGGATGAAAATACAGAAAGTCAGTGTGTGACCAAATCCTGTAACGTCGAAGGTTTAACTTTTTTCGAAAAGATTATTAAACATGGTGAGTAATTAGATATAAGAAGATGTGGTATGAGTACCAATGAGACAACTCTCCATCCAAGTCACAATTTGTAAAAGTAAACCATTATAGGTCAAAGTACGGCCTTCAACACGGAGCCTTGGCTCACACCGAACAGCAAGCTATAAAGGGCCCCAAAATGACTAGTGTAAAACCATTCAAACAAGAAAACCAACGGTCTAATCTATATAAAAAAAACGAGAAACGAGAAGCACTTATGAACCACATCAACAAACGACAACCACTGAACATCAGGTTCCTGACTCACCACTTAAAACTCATTCAATAAAGAACTAAACTTATTGTTTTTAATATAACACAAAGCCTGGGACTATTATGCAGTAAAAGCATACTTTTTCAATAGAGTACATTGCTAACGGTTTTATAATAAACTATAATATAATACAACATTTAGTTTACTTTTCAGTGTAATACAATACAACTACTATTTCAATATACATTGTAATACAACACTTTACTTTTTTAAATGGAATACATTGCTAACTGTTATATAATATGATATAATATAATACAACATTTAGTTTACTTTAAAATGTAATACAATACAATTACCATTTCAATACAATAAAACACTTGCTATTTAATTAAGATACAACACTACGTATTCAGTTAGTATACAACGCTTACTGTAAAATATAATGAAACGTTTGCAATGAAATACCTTGATTTCCAATTGAAGAAAAACGAATATTGCACAAATAAAATAAATTCAACGATAGGTGGTGTCAAGATATTATTATTGAAGTAACATCAGCAGTTCCTTACTTATTCTTCATATATTAGCATTAGAAGCAAATGTAATAAAAAAGAATAACTAACCCAAGAGTTACAAAATCGCGACTTAACAATGTATTTATTCGCCAGTTCCTGTAAATTTAATCTAATATTATTCTGTTTTGTATTGCAAAATTTTAATAGTGATACACTGTATAAACATGATAATAAAAAAACTTATTTTTCGTACATAGAATGCAGAGATATACAAGGTAAATGTCGTCAAGTTGGAGATACTGGATTTAATGTTAAAATGAATGGCTTATTGTACGAGAGCTGTACGTGTAATTACGAGGACGAGAAAGTTGTGTACCAGTGTCAATCAACCTCGGAACTTCCCTAGGAGATGTAGACAATGAACAAGTTTTTGAACACATTAAAAATATTTTAAAGACATTTCTTGAATAATTTCACGTATTATCATGTTTTCTACTTTTTAGGCCAACGTGTACCCTGTTTCATGAAAGTACTAGTCTATGTGGGAACACGATAGGTTTCCATTTCGGAACACCTTATTTTTTTTTTTATTGGGGTTAATATTGTCTAAACTTAAGTTTTCATTTATGTTGAATAAAAATTAAAGGAGTCCAGGATATTTGGTAACTGAGACAATGACAGAAAACCGCCACACATTTAAGGTTTTGCTTACATGTTTATTGTTTTGATCATAGTAGTCTTGTTTGAGCATCTTTCTTGGGCCTTTTTTAGTTGTGTTTGATTTGTATTTTCTATAATTTGTTTCTGCTCACACAGTCTGAATACATGTGTGATGTCTTGGCAAACTTAAGGGAAATTCTACTTACATGTATACGTCCTTGGCTTTCAAATTTATGATTATGAATGTTCCTTTTTTATTTAGTTAAAAAGTGAATTATATCAAAACTTTAATTTGATGCACATATGAACATTTCGAAAATTTGTGTATCACTAGGTATAAACAAACACGGTTTGATGACAGAACTTACAGAAACATATAGCAGTTGTGAGAAATCTGTAAATTCATCAAAACAGGGACTGTGGACTTGTATTCTGTATATTTTTTTAGGATGATACAAACCAAATGCAAATAAAATCAAAAACACAATTTAGATCACAATTAATTACAAAGTTTTAACATTCATAGATAATTGAAGATGCGGCAACTTTTTTATTTATAAAATACGAAACCGGATAAACAAGACCAAAATAAAACAGAAAATTATGTATGAGAAAACAAATACACTCTACAAGAAAACAAAAGACTGAGCAGCAAAAAATCAACAAAAACTGATGATTTGTCTACTACACTAGTCACCAGCAGTGTAACTCGTGTGAAAACTAGTTGATAAATCGTGCCCTTTGGTAAGGAATAGTGCAAAAGCGGAATATTTATTCATTACACTACTATTTCACTCAATTTCAAACGTTAGACATTACAAAATTTATAAACAATCAATATTATCTAATTAGATATTTCACAGAACGTGAATTCCTTGAAATGAAAACACAGTATTTGAGACAAAAGATATACAAGAACATTAGTAATAGAAAATTCCATAGACTTTGAAAAACAAAAAATCTCAAAACTGAACAAAAACACTAAAGCAAAAGCACCACGAGCCAAAAACTAGGGATAAAATCGGGTGTTCCGGTAGCACCAGCAGTAAATTTTCCTTTTAACGGAAGGACCATTTTGTTATATCAGGGTCTTTGTAGTGAATTACAGTCATTTCGTACCCTACCATTTCGTACCCCCCATTTCGTACCCTGACCATTTGGTACCTTGACCATTTCGTACCTCATGGAATATTAACATGTATACCATATCGTACCTCATGGAAAATTTATATGTATACCATTTCGTACCTAATGAAAGTTTATATGTAAGCCATTTCGTAACAAAATGTTTTGAAATCTGTAGAACTTTTTTATTTATGATATTTATTTCAAGTATTATGAATGATACCTTAGTTACATTTGCACATAGTTCGGCCTATCGAAATCGTTTTGCAAATATTTCAAGTATGGAAAAGGGGCTTCAATGATTGTAATAGTGAGGCGAAAGACACCAAAGGGACATTCAAACTCATAGGTCGAAATAAACAACGCCACGGCAAAAAAAAGGAAAAAGATCAGAAGACAAACAATAGTACACAAACACAACATAGAAAACTAAAGACTGAGCGACAAGAACCCCACCAAAACCCGTTGTGATCTCAGGTGCTCCCTAATTTTAAGCAGATCCAGCTCCACATGTGGCTCCCTTCGTGTTGCTCATGAAATTACAAACAAACCCGGTGATAAGTCTAATTCGGTAGGTCACATTCGGGGAAAAGGGGGGCGGGATTGTAGTTACGACAATTAGAACATATCCGTCATCATCTGTGAAACAGATATTTCACAACTAAAGTAAAGTAAAGTAAAGTAATCTTTATTTAAAGTCGGGTTTCATATATACATAATAAACAAGGAACATGAGCTCTTAAGAGCTCTTTAACCGACTGATATTAATAAACAAAACATACATGTAATAACATCAGATTCATATACAACAAAAATTTAAAGACAGCACATACATGTATTAATCATGTTTATAGATAGCACATGGAAAATAAAAGCTAAGCAAGATATATATTAAAACAGATGTCAAATATCAGCACATAGTAACACACAATATATGTATCCAAGTAGCACATGCAAAATTAAACACTATAAAGCACAAGCAAAAGACTACAAGCAGCTACAGCACAGGTAATGCATAAGCAAAGCAAATAACTGTCAACCAACTCGTGATGTCGTCCATAAAATTTACGAAGGGATGATTTCAACTTCACCACTTGGATACATACTCCATATGCAGACGTTGCTAGTATGCTGCTACATAGAAATGGAAAGTTCACAATTGGGAAGCAAAACTTACTCTTTTGTCGTAAAGTTTTGTTTTTAACCGACCCTCATTGTCAATTTTTAGATGTAAGTCAAGATATGAGGCAGACTCAACAGTATCTGTTGTATCCTTTATCTCAAGTTTGATGTAATAGATGCGTTCAACATAGTCACCAAATTTTGAATTATTAAGTGAGAGGACATTATCTTTATAGCGGAAAGTGAAGTTAAAGGATAATGCTAACTTTTTCTCTTTTTTCCTAAGAAGCTCCTGTATGAAGTCAGCCTCATATGAATAAAAGAACAAGTTAGCAAAAAGAGGAGCTACTTTGGTTCCCATTGGAATGCCGATTATTTCTTGAAAAATACACGTCTTCCAAACGTAACAAATATGTTGTTAAGACAAGATACTTGTATTTACGATGGCCATTCTTTTTTATGAAACAAAGCAGGACCAACTCTTTCAATTTGTCTTTTAGTTTGGAATGAGGAATACTTGTGTAAAGTGTAGAAAAGTCAAATGTTTTAATACTATTGGAAGATGAAAGAGTCTTAGATTATATGTACCCTAACAGATCTTTGGATTTTTTAGTTTCCTCATCTGATTCACGCCACCTCTTGAATAGGTAGTTTCATAATAACTTTGAAGCCCGGCTTTGATTTCTGATACAATTGATGTTTATAATTTAGAAAGAGGTTTCGTGGAGCACTTTGAAGACCCAGCAATATAACGTTGTACGTAAGGACACTTGTGTAGCTTAGGTGTCCAATACAGTGGAGGAAGATCCAGTTCTTCATCTTTTGTTGAAATTCCAAAAGAACATAGATCACACCTATAATTATTCGGGATTTCCTCCATGGTAAGTGTGGTGGGGGTGTATGTTGAGCTTCCAAGTGAATTGTCAATACCTAATTCATTTACACACGAAAATGATGTTGTTGGGCGCTTTATCTGCGGGAACAACATATTTGTCATGGAGGTAGGACAGGTGTTTTGCAAAAGCTTAATATGTCCTTGTCTTCTTTGATGAATTAAGATGTTTCATTGAATATTATTACCCGTTTCTAGTCTACCAACATGTCATTGAGAAGATAAACTCCCGTTTCAAATGATTACATATTTCTGTCTCGCACCGGAATGTGCCTGTTTATGTTATTTTTTATTATATATATATATATATATATATATATATATATATATATATATATGTACTTGATGCGCATTTTTAAACTACGTTTCCTACTTCCTGACACTTTTTCCCGTATCAAAAATTCACACTGTGCTTTCCCCACATTAACATATTTTGTTAGGTTTGTGGGCTTCGGGTTGATGATTATAATTGCAAATGTTGTAACTTAACAAGGGTATATTAAAAAAACTTAATTTATGAATATTTATAACACAAAAATTCAATATTATGTTTTCTTATCGTATTTTCAAATGAAATATTAACATAACAAAAAATACACCTTTTGATGCATTACTGACTACATTAGAAAAAACTATGATACGAGAAAACTAACAGAATTCAATTACTATTTATTAAAAAGATATAGAAACTTAGAAATAATATATAGCAGATGTAAATAGAACAAAGATCTTACATGTACATAAGCGTTGTGACCTACCGAATTATACTTATCCCTTTATTCCTGGTATCTTTCGCCTCTCTCTTTTTCATTTACCGATTGTACAACAGGAAGGTTTTTGTAAAATGTTCTTCTATTATGTAGCGTTCGTCATCCGTCTGAAAATTTGTATACAGTTCTGAATCCTCTTTGGGGGGTAAAACACGAGCCAAAGTGTTTCAATTCATATATAAATTACTATGATTGCAGGACCAAAGGCCAAGTGAGGTTTTTATTATATATGTTCTGATAAATATTTTTTCTGAAGAAAAAGAAACCACTACACGGATGTGTATTTATTTTTCGGGTGGTATAGGGAGGGAAATACAGTTTCGATGCCATATCGTAATCGTATATATAAAGACCACTCCACCACCTAGGCTAGTACATAAAAATATAGCTTTCGGTGGTCGATGTAATGCCTCTCCTCATCGGCTTTATCTAGGGTTGTAACACAGTATGTGATATATAGTGGCAAGAAGATGGTGTACATTTCAGATCAGTTATTTTGTCTGTCGTAAAGGATGATAATGTTAATTACCATGCCGCCACATCAAATTTTAATTTTATTATACACGTCTTAACATGGGACAACTTTATAACAGACATTCTCCATCGGATAACACGTGGTTATACAGGGATAAAAGCGCCCTAGACCACTCGACCACCTAGGCTACATAAAAATATAGCTTTCGGTGGTCGATGTTATGACTTTCCTCGTCATTACATCGACCACCGAAAGCTATATTTTTATGTACTCGTCATTACACCGACCACCGAAAGCTATATTTTTATGTAGCCT